CTTGAGCCAGCACCCATATGGGATGCCGGCACTGCAAGCGGTGGCTTTACCTGCTAAGCCACAGCACCAGCCCCCAGGGAGGTGTTTTGGACAAAAGGAGACCCAAATGAGCATGGGAGGCAGGATAGCATATTAACCAAATGCCGAATGGACCTGGATTCAACCCTGGCCTATTTATGAGATCTGTAACTCTAGGCAATTTGCTAAGCCTGGAAAGAATATACTAATCACATTTTCCTCAGGGTTATTGAGAAAATTTAATCTAAACTGCTTTTAAAGTGCTTAGCAGGGTACCTGACAGAGTAGACATTCAGTGAAGTGTCAACACCTAAGGCGTGAGAGATGGATGAACTACCAGGAAGGGAAAGCAGGAGGAAGCCCTAGCTCTTATTTTACAGTTTTGTTGAGGGCACTGCTGTCGCAGCTCCCACTTCATGGCCCAGACAGCTTCCTTTGAAGTGGTTATTGAATGCCCCAGCTGATCTCAATTCTGTTACGGCTTGCTTGTTCCTAGGCTTTAAATAGCAAGTGTACTGACTCAAAACATTAATACACCTGTGCTTTCTCTGACCAAATTGCTTCTCTTCTGTGCCTACCTGGAAACCATGAGACCTGGACAGTTCCCATATGGGTGTTCTTTTTCAAAATAGTTTTAATGGTAATAGTGTAGAGATATAAAGATGGAGAGAGAGACGGGGGAGACATGGGAGCCAGCAACTGTCGAGTGGTCATGTTTGTATAGCTGAGTTCCTCTCGCACACAACACTAGACCTGAAGGTAGCCAGTTGCTGGGCAAAGGGCAAACTCAGGTCCACTTTTTCCATTTGCTCTTTCCTTAGGAAAATCATGGCAAAAATTACTCTAGTATTTTATAGCCTTCAGACATGGAGGTATCTAGTCTGCATTTAGGAAATTCAAGGGACTGACATTTAAAATGTCAGGAAATTTGCTGTCTCCTCCCAAGTGCTCTTATTCCCAGATATGGCAGGAGCAAGCACAAGGTTATTTTCACACGTTGGGAAGAAACGTTCCATTCCAGATTCAAGTGGAGGTTTTCCACTTTTGGAAGTGCTGCTGAGGCTGTAATTATAAACTAGGATTAATTTAAAATAGTTCTTGGGATGAATTAGGATCTTGCAATAAAAGTCCTATATACAACCTGTCACATTATCTGTGGTAACTCTTCCTTGTGCCAGCTTGGTTAATGAGGGTAACAGCTACGCAGAAGTTTATTGCCAAAGGAATGTTTAACAGTGGTACTATGAATTCAGCACTTCATGAGAGGGAATATTGCTGAGAGTTGGTGGTATTTGAACAATCTGTGGCATTTAATGTATAGTTCAATATCCAAGGTATGCGACGCACAGGGTTTCCCCTTTTTCCGTTCTGCCATTTCTCCGCCCATCTGTTTTGTTCTTACGGGAAATGAAGATGCAGCAGGAGACCCCAGTCTCGTCTTCATCCTCTGACTTCTGGCCTTTCCTTCATCCCCCTCTCTCTGCTCTCTTCCTGGGTCTGAACAAGGCTGGATGGCTTCAGCCTCAAGGAAAGCCTTGTGTTAGCCTAGATGACCTTTAAGGTTTCAGGCTTGAGTCTGTGATACTCATCAGTGGACTCTTAGAGTTATTCAAGTGGGATAGAACAGTGAGCACTGAGCATTCAGGGTAGGCATCCTCTTCGGCGGGACGCAGAGCAGGCAGCCGTGCTCACCCGTGGCTGTGGTCGCACCTCTGACCCTGCGGTCTGTTAGGACTCCAGGAGGGAGAGCGCTTGCAGTGTTCACAGTTCGGATCCTGCAGTGGGTATAAGCTGTCCCAGTCACTGCCGGTCCCGTCTCCTGTTTATTGTTAGATAACTGGCTTGTTTCTGTCACCTGTGCCTGCCCGACAAACATTCGTGTTTGTGACCTCTTCTTTAACCAATTCGTGGAATTTAGGTGAAATCCAGCTTTTTTTCTTTTTTATATTTATTTACTTATTTGAAAGGCAGAGTTACGCAGAGACAGAGAGAGAGAGAGAGAGAGAGAGAGAGAGAGAGAGATCTGGTCTTCCATCTGCTGGTCACTCCCCAGTTGGCCACAACGGCCAGAGCTATGCCGACCTGAAACCAGGAGCCCGGAGCTGCTTCTGGTTCTTCCACACAGGTGCAGGGGCCCAAGCCCTTGGGCCATCTTCCACTGCTTTCCTAGGCCATAGCAGAGAGCTGGATTGGAAGTGGAGCAGCCAGGACTGGAACCAGTGCCTGTATGGCATGCTGGCACTGCAGGTGGCAGCTTTACCCACTTTATGCCACAACGCCAGCCCCTCTAGCTTTTTAATGTTAATGAATGTTCTTTTAATGAACATCTCTGAAGAGTATATCCTTAGAATTAACTTCCACAACTACAACTATTGGGTTAAATTGGTTATACATTTAAAATTGTAAAACATATTGTCAAATTTCTCTGCTATTGTATGTAAATTGCCAATTTGTGTTTTTTGTCTAATTTTATCAGTTTTCCTTATTTTAAAAAGTTCGTAATATATCAAATAAGATTATAAATCTTTTAACATGTGATAAAGATATTTTCTCAGTTTTTGAAAACTTTATATAGTGTCTTAGACATTTTAAGTTTTTATATATTTCAATTTATTAGCTTTTCCTTTGTGGTTTCTGGAATTTTATGTCATGCTTAGAAGTTTTTCACATCCTAAAATAATAAAAATAGTAACTTCTACTTTGTTTTAGAATTTCTTTTTTCTTTTTCAGTATTTAATCCATCTGGAGTCTGTCTTGGTATAGAGTGGGGCAGCTATCCGGCTTCATATTTTTCTAAACAGGCAGCCACTTTTGCTAACAACCAAGGATTGTAAGAATTCATAGTTAATTTGGAATTACCAAATCTTGATAGCATCTAGTATCCAAAAGAAGCTTGTTTTTACTGATAGAAAGTTTCCACTTTACACTCTGACTTTCAAAATTGTTCTGCCTTTAAAACCTCCCCAAAGGAACTGCGAACAGAGCACCATATTGGTTTTGGCATTAACTTTAATGCATTTCAAATAAGCTGATTCTACAGAATTCGATCCACAGTACTCCTATGTCTTGATGCTTTTCTGCCAAGCAAAATTGATTATTTCTAACCAAAAGGCCTTCAGTGCTGAACTGAAAAAAGAAGTGAGGCAGGCCTCCTAAGGCTGACTGTGGATTATATAATTTGGCGTCAAGTACAGCGCTTTTTGTTCCTCTCTTAAATTTCTGTTCTCTAGGCTCCATGTGCTGGGGAACTTTTGGGGATTCAAAATCAGATCCTTTCTGTCCAACTTTAGTAATTGTATCTCTAATTTTTTTTTTGATAGTCTGATAGGTCTTTTTGGTTGTTTTTGATAGTCTAATACTTAGGGTCTTTTTTGACAATTATTCCTATCTATCTTCTATATTGTGGGTTGATTGTGTATTTGTTATGCTAGTATATTTTCAACTACAGTGATACTTTGTTCTGCCATGTGGACTCTTTTTATAGTGTCAGAGGCGTTCTTAATTCTTCTACTTTGAATCTTTTTAAAATAAGATTTGTTTATTTACTTGAAAGGCAGAATTATAGAGAGAGGGAGAAGGAAAGATAGAAGAGATTTTCCTTCCTTTGGTTCACAAAAGATGAATAAAGGTTGTTGGCTGCAATAACCGGGGCCGAGCCAGGCCAAAACCAAGAACCGGGAGCTTCTTCTGGGTCCCCTATGTGGGTACAGGGCCCCAAGGACTTGAGCCATCTTCCACTGCTTTCCCAGGTGCACTAGCAGGGAGCTGGATTGGAAGTGGAGCAGCTGGGACTTGAACTGGCACCCGTATGGGATGCCGGTGCTACAAGCTTAACCCACTGTGCCACACATCCTTCTAGATTACGATAATGTCCTTTAAAGTATATTTTATCATTGAACCTTGTAGGGAGGGAGATAGAGTCTGCCACTGTGGTTGGGATGCAGCATACACACTGCCATTAGAATCCCTGGATCATTCTGCCAGGGTTCATAGCGGGTCTTCTGCACCTGCTATGTTATCTTCTGTCACTCATGGATAGAATCACATCTAACTCAGGACTGTTATGAGTATCAAATGAAATAATAAATGCAAAGCATTAGGCTAGCCCCTGTCCTGCAGTGAACACTTAATAAATGTTATTTTCTCCTCCTCTTTTAGGTTGTTTGCTCTTCTATGATGTTATAGTATTATTTTCCTCTCCTTATAAACAGAATCCATACAAATTATAGAAGGTTTAGAGACTGAAGAAGCTGAGCGATAAAGTGTTCCCTACAATTGTGTCACCCTGAACAGTAATCATAACTTCCATTTTGACATATTTCCTCCTATATTCTTTTACACAGCTGAGGTCATTATGCATGTACAGTATGTCTTGATTTCTTTTCGTTTCTTTATTGTTAAAAATAGTTAAAACCATGTTATTATTTTGACTGAATCTTTCTCCTTTGCTCTGATATTTGGTATTTGGAGCATTTCTGGTTGGAATTAGGCTTCTTTCTAAGTTACTAAGTCAGGCTTGCTTCTCATCAGTGAGAGGTTTTAGGTGTTGGCTTTGCTTTTATTGTTGTGGTTGTTGTTTTGCTATCGAGTGTGTGAATTAGCCGGGATTTTAACTACCAAAATCCGGTGCTCTCAGATCCTTCCCAGCAGCTGTCTGGACCATCTCCCTGCTTGTTTCCCTTTTGAACCTTTTTCTGGTGGGTGAGTGGGGACCATGATCTGCTGCAGGTCCCTGACCTGGCAGTGCCTTGTGAATGCCCAGGAGGTGGCCAGAATAAATGCTGCTTGCCTGTTTCTGGGTCTTTGCTGGGCTAATCACGCTGAGCGGTTTCTGGTGAGAAGACTTCTAAATTGTCCTTGACAGGGAACGCTATTTCTGTTTCAACTTTCTATTTTTCCTGTAAAGCTGGATTTAAAGTATGTTGAGACTGAATTCATTTGTACTTTGGAATATAATGAGATCTTGTACTCTTTACTTTCAGAAAACCAGCCAAGAACAGCATTCTGAAAAAGACATATGTATCCAAAATTGCCCGGGGAGCGTGCTGGGTAGATATGCTTTCTGAGAAACCACACGGCAGATGAATGTCCTCTTTGTCTCAGAAGCTGCGGGAGCCTGGTTCTGCTGATGACTCTCACTGGCTGCTTGGAGCTTGGTTTTTAACTCAGTTGCCGAAATGGCTCTGAGAGCATGACTGAAATGCTTGTGGTTTGTGACTTTAGGAGGTTTCTTAAAATGATATCAGCCTGTGTGAACTTGACACTGTTTTTCATTTCTTTTCTTTGGTTTTGAGACTGCCTGACCTGTGGCTGCTTTACACTCAAGGCCAGTTATTCTCTGATGTTAAAATATAGAATGACTTTTATCTCAGCTACTGAACTGAGTGCATACTGGCTCAGAAGTAGATCCTAAGAGCTGCAAACAAGTACCTTGGCACCTTAGAGCCTAGGAAGCCCTGGACTGGGGTCACTTCCAAATGGCTTCCCTGGAAGTTTAGGTGACAAACAGTCATATGTCTTGACTTCCCAGCAGCTATCCTTTCTCAGTAAGCTGTCCCAGTACAGTGTCTGAGAGAATGACACTTTCAGGATTGAAAGGGAGCTGAAGGGGCGTGTATTCTAGCTCCTGCATCTCCAGAAAGAGGCAGCATCCAGCATTCTCTCGGATCCCTCTGTGCGTTTCTGAGAAGGGAGAGTTCATGAGTTGGGAAATGAGTGGTCCGTATCCTTGCTCAGCATCTCTGAAGATACGGCCGTTTTAAATTTTGGCCAGATTTGTCACTGGGGAACTTCCTCTGTGAAGCTTTGATGATTTCTCATAGAAACTGCAAAAGTGAGTTGGGATCATCTGAATTTTCTGTTTTACAGATGGAGAAAGTTGTAGTCTCTTGCCCCTACCCACTTAGTATCATGGTAATTTGGCTTGAGTAAAATTTGGCGGCCTTAGGCTAGCTCCTTGTTACCAAGGCAAGCAGCTGAGTGTCGGTACTCCCTGTACACCTGTGCTGCTCAGCACATGGGTTTTCTTGGTGTCTTTGAGCTTTGTTCTCTCTCTCTGTTTAACTGAGGTAATGAGTGTGAAAACACCTTACTAATCTTAGATACTGGGTGATGTTTCATTGAAAGTGCTGGCTCTCAAGGTATAGACAGAAACAGATTCAGTTTTAGTCTCTGTCTCTTGCAGACAGTGTGACCTTGGATAGTTTCGATTATATAAATCTTCAGCTCTCAAATTCTTCATCTAGAGCATCAGGTTAATAAATTTAGCAGTAAGGTTAAATGAAGATCAAATGAGGTTAATACATAGGAAATACTTGCTTAATACATGACCAACCAATAATGAACAGTTAATGTTTAAAAATGATCTGGCTTTTTTTTTTAACTGCTGCTATTATTATTCCTATAATCACTGCAGAACAAGGTCCTTGTCCTGCCCTGTTAGGAAGGCGGTACCGTCAGGGCTTCTGCTTGCCCTCCAACCTTACCTTTCTTTGTAATTTATTTCTCTCTGTAGCACTTTCCTTGTTGTTTTTTTTTTTAACTTTACTGAGAAAAACAATATTCTTTGAAGCAAGCATTAGAAAAGAAAAGCAAGCTATAACTATAGATACTGCCAATTTAAAAATCTATAACTATGCCAATGGATTTAAAAAGTTAGATGAAGTCAGGATTGGAGGTGTGGGGGTAGAGGGGTGCTGACATGAATTTAGAATGAAACCAAGACCAAGGACAAAGAAGTCTGGACCCCAAGGGCAAAGCAGGGTGAGCTAGACTGTTCACAACACATACTCAAATAACAGAGCCACAGAGGATGAAAGGACCTGTGAGAACAGACACTGCCATGATAGGGGGTGGGGTGGCACACACAAATCCTCTCTTGCCCTTGGAGTCCCTCTTTCCCTCCCTATTGTGAGTACTTTCAATTGTATGCAAATGTCACATTTAGTCAGAGAAAATTAGAATATTTTAATTTTCTACTTGGGCTATAAACATACATACCAAAATGTTCTGGATTTAAAATTACCTTGCATTTTTCAAATTTAAATTTTTTATTTGGGGTTTGGCATTTTGGAACTTTTCAGTAGTGAGCAAGCATGTGCATTCAGTAACTGATAATAGTATTTCTTGAAAGAAATACTATCAAAGTCAAAATAATAGCTACATTGTTGTGCTATTAACAGTCACAACTTTCGTAAGAGGAAAATGTTTATGAACATTAGAATCTCTAGTTTCAGGCAACACAGAATATGTTTGTAGACATGTATAACACATTAATCATGAACCAAACCTTCCCACAGGCCCCGTTTGTGATAGATGCAAATCATGGTCTTGTCACTGCTTTCCTTATAGCTCCAGGTTGTAAGTCAGACCCAGATTACAAGAAGTTTAATTTTTCAAGTTGTTTGCTTGTTTTAGAAAACATTTAGCATGCATATTGTAAAGAGTGACTTCATACTGAAGTCAAGAGCTCTTAACCCAGATCTTACATGCTAGGAATATGGTGAGTGTACTTCCTGAACAAAAAACTAGAACACACACAGCCTTTACAAAGAGTATTCTCTCATTTGTCAATGTAAGTACATTTGAAAAATATTACCATGGCATAAATTAAGTCACATTTGATTATACCAGTTAAACATCTGTTGAATAAAGGAATATCCCAAAATATCTAAGACATATACATATTAATGCTTTTATGCTTTTGTAAGGATTAAGGATTAATCTTTTCCAGGCAGTCCTTTTTTTTTTTTTTTTAGAATTTATTTATTTATTTGAAAGGCAGAGTTAGCGAGAGGCAGAGGGAGAGCCAGAGAGAGGGATCTTCCATCTGCTGGTTCACTCCCCAGGTGGCCACAATGGCCAAAGCTAAGCCAATCCAAAGCCAGGAGCCAGGAGCTTCTTCCAGATCTCCCATGTGGGTGCAGGGGCCCAAGGAGTTGGGCCCTCTTCTACTGCTTTCCCAGGCCATAGCAGAGAGCTGGATCGCAAGTGGAGCAGCAAGTGAACCAGCTCCCATATGGAATGCCAGCACTGCAGGTGGCGGCTTTTCTCACTATGCCATCACGCTGGTCCCCCAGCCAGTCTTAACTCAGAAAAATGAAAGCAAAAAAAATCTTTAAAAAAAAAAGCTTTATTGGCCGGCGCCGCGGCTCACTAGGCTAATCCTCCGCCTAGCGGCGCCGGCACACCAGGTTCTAGTCCCGGTTGGGGCGCCGGATTCTGTCCCGGTTGCCCCTCTTCCAGGCAAGCTCTCTGATGTGGCCAGGGAGTGCAGTGGAGGATGGCCCAGGTGCTTGGGCCCTGCACCCCATGGGAGACCAGGAAAAGCACCTGGCTCCTGGCTCCTGCCATCGGATCAGCGCGGTGCGCCGGCCGCGGTGCGCTGGCTGCAGCACGCCGGCCGCAGCGGCCATTGGAGGATGAACCAACGGCAAAGGAAGACCTTTCTCTCTCTCTCTCTCTCTCACTGTCCACTCTGCCTGTCAAAAAAAAAAAAAAAAATCTTTATTTAGCAGTTTTGTGGTTCTGGCAGAACTAAAAGATTTATATATGTGTACACACACACACACACATATACTATACCTAGATTTTGTGTTTTTTTTTTTTTTTTTTTTTTTTTTTTCTTTTTTGACATCCCAGGGGGTTCAGGTACCAAGACCTGACCATTGCAGATTCTCTTGTCCTTTGCAGATAGAACTTGTTGTCTTTTTGTTGCAGAATTCTTCCCCTATCCCTAAAAAAAGGATTGCTTGAGCTGTTCTTTTTGGGTATTTAGGTTGTGAATCCTGACGCTTCATTGCAGAGGAGTGCCCAGCAGTAGTTTTACATACTTTCCAGAGACCGAGTGCTTATGTACTTGCACATTTTCTTACTTTAAGAAAGCCCAAATTATAAAAGTTCAGGATGGCAAAAGAAATTACTCAGGGAGTTTTTATTCACATTCTTGACTATAAAAATTTTGGTCTTTTAATGTATTTAAAAATTGGATCCTATTTAATCAGAAGATACCTTTTAAAATTACATCTGTTAAATAGAGATCAATTTGCATTTTGGTTTTCAAATTTTGATTGGGATTCTTTGGACTTCTTTTATATGCCAGAAGAGAGAGAAGCCTGGCCTTTTGTCTGTCTTGGAAATTTCCAGCCCAGCAAAGTAAATAGAGTCATAGCTTGCAGGAATTCTTATCTGATCAGCCATCTTTTCCCTAGATTAAATTACATCAAAACAGCAGATTGGTATAGTTGATGGTTTAGATTTTAATTTCTTATAAAAGATTAATATCCCTACAAGAATGATTATACTTAAATATATATTTAAATATATATATATATATTTTTTTTTTGGAAGAGTTAGAGGGAAAGATAGAGATATCTTCCATCTGCTGGTCCACCCCACAGGCTGGCCGCAACTGGCCAGTGCTGGGCCGAGCCAAAGCCAGAATCCAGGAGCTTCATCCCGGTCTCCCACATGGATGGCAGGGGCCCAACACTTGGGCCATATTCTGCTGCATTTTCCAGGCCATTAGCAGAGAGTCAGATTGGAAGTAGAGCAGCCAGGATGTGAACCAGCATCCATACGGGATGCTGGTGTCGTAGGCAGCAGCTTTACCTGCTGCACCACCATGTCACCCTAACTACTGGCACTTTCGATGTCTTCCTTTGGTCTTTGCAGATATCAGGAGCATCGCATTCTGCTCTGCTCTTGTGCTAACCTCTTAGACATCCACAGCTCTTCAGGGAGGTTTGATGTGTGCTCACTGACTTCTTGAGAGTTTTCCTCACACAGTTTGTGGCTTTCTTAAGTGTGAAATTTATATACACTGATTCAGAGCTGCTCTTAAAATTTTTCTTAAACAGCAATCATAAGCAACCCAGACTGGAGTGAACTTTTATGTCTTTTTCTGTCCAGCTCTATTGCAATCAGGACACTGGGTGAGCTGTTCATCTTGATCTTGGCATTCACGGGTCAGCTTTGAGTAATTGACTTAACTTTATTTAAGGAACTTATATTATCCTCTTAGGCTTATGTATTGATCACATACTTTCTGAAAAGCCCAGGTCTTATTAGTGATTGAGGGAACCCAGTAAAGGATCAGGATCATTTTCAAGTAAAAGCTTAAAGATTAAGAGTTATATTCATATTACTGTTTTCAAATAGTTATTTATTTGAAAGGCAGAGAGACTGAGACAGGTCTCTCATCTGCTGGTTCACTCCCCAGCTGCCTGCAGTAGTGCTCCGGACAGAAGCCAGGAGCTCAAAACTCAATCAGGGTTTCCCATCGGGATGGCAGGGACCCAGCTACTGGGAGCATCACGCTGTCTCCTAGGATGTGTAATAGCAGGAAACTGGATCAGAAGCAGAGCCGGGACACAAACCCAGGCACTCTGATATGTAATACAGGCATCTCAAGTTGTGTCTTAACCACTGAGCCAAATGCCCACCTCTTGCATTTCTTTTTCTTTTTCTTTTTCTTTTTTTAAGATTTAATTATTTATTTGAAAGTCAGAGTTACACAGAGAGAGAAGGAGAAGCAGAGAGAGAGAGAGAGAGAGAGATTGAGAGAGAGGTCTTCCATCTGTTGGTTCACTCCCCAGTTGGCTACAATGGCTAGAGCTGTGCTGATTCGAAGCTAGGAACCAGGAGCTTCTTCTGGATCTCCCATGTGGGTGCAGGGGCCCCAGGACTTGGGCCATCTTCCACTGCTTTCCCGGGCCATAGCAGAGAGCAGGAAAGCAAGTGGAGCAGGTGGGACCCAAAATAACGCCCATATGGAATGCTGGTGGCTTTACCCACTATACCACAGCACTGGCCCGATCTTTTTTTATTTATTTATTTATTTATTTATTTGAGAGGTAGAATTACAGACAGTGAGAGGGAGAGAGAGAAAGGTCTTCAATCCATTGGTTCACTCCTTAGATGGTCGCATTGGTCAGAGCCGAGCCGATCTGAAGCCAGGAGCTTCTTCCAGTTCTTTCATGCAGGTGCAGGGGCCCAAGTGCTTAAGCCATCTTCTACTGCTTTCCTAGGCCACAGCAGAGAGCTGGATTGGGAGAGGAGCAGCCAGGGGTAGAACCAGCGCCTGTATGGGAAGCTGACGCCACAGGCAGAGGATTAACCTATGCTATGGCGCCGGCCCCTTGTATTTCTTTCCTTTTTTTTTTTTTTTTTACAGGCAGAGTGGACAGTGAGAGAGAGACAGAGAAAAAGGTCTTCCTTTGCCGTTGGTTCACCCTCCAATGGCCGCTGCGGCCGGCACGCTGCAGCCGGTGCACCGCGCTGATCCGAAGGCAGGAGCCCTGGTCTCCCATGGGGTACAAGGCCCAAGGACTTGGGTCATCCTCCACTGCACTCCCTGGCCACAGCAGAGAGCTGGCCTGGAAGAGGGGCAACCGGGACAGAATCTGGCGCCCCGACCGGGACTAGAACCCGGTGTGTCGGCGCCGCAAGGCAGAGGATTAGCCCATTGAGCCGCGGCGCCGGCCTGTATTTCTTTTTAAAATACTTGTTGAGAATTCTTTTCTGCCGGCATGACTCCCTGACAATATATTAGACATAACCCTTACATTCAGATAGCTGCCACTTCAGTAAGATACGGGTGTTACAGGAGATGGGCTGGGGCTTGAGCTGGACTGGACTAGAAGGTTGAATGGACATTCCTCTATGCAGAGACAAAGATTTGTCAGCAGAAGCAAAGAAGCGTGAAAAAGCATTTCGCTGACGCCACGGCTCACTAGGCTAATCATCCCCCTGCAGCACCAGCACTCCAGGTTCTAGTCCCAGTTGGGGTGCCGGTTCTGTCCTGGTTGCTCCTCTTCCAGCCCAGCTCTCTTCTGTGGCCCGGGAAGGCAGTGGAGGATGGCCCAAGTGCTTGGGTCCTGCACCTGCATGGGAGACCAGGAGGAAGCGCCTGGCTCCTGGCTTCGGATTGGCACAGCACATCGGCTGTAGTGGCCATTTCGGGGGTGAACCAATGGAAGGAAGACCTTTCTCTCTGTCTCTCTCTCTCACTGACTAACTCTATCTGTCAAATTAAAAAAAAAAGAAAGAAAGAAAGAAAGAAAAAGAAAAAATTGTGGCACCCAAAGGCATTTTGAGTAGTACTGACAAATGAACTCATCAATCTTCTTACTTATTTAACCCAATTTTATTAGTGTTCTGTATCTAAGATAAAGAGTTCCTTCAAATGATAAGATTCACACTTTCAAAAAAATATTTTTATTTATTTGAGAGGTAGCGTATAGACAAAGAGAGGGAGAGACAGAGAGAAAGGTCTTCTATCCACTGGTTCATTCTCCAAGGGGCTACAATGGCTGGAGCTGCGCCGATCCAAAGCCAGGAGGCAGGAGCTTCTTCTGGGTCTCCCACATAGATGCAGGGGCCCAAGGACTTGGGCCATCTTCCGCTGCTTTCCCAGGCCACAGTAGAGTGCTGGATCGGAGGAGGAACAGCTGGGACACAAAGCGGCTCACATATGGGATGCCGGCCGTGCAAGCAGATGCTTAGCCTGCTGCCACGGTGCCAGCCCCTCATTTTGTTTTTAAGAACTCTAGGGGCTGGTGCTGTGGCACAGTGGGTTAAATCCCTGGCCTGAGGCTCTGGCATCCCATATGGGTGCCGGTTCTAGTTCTGGCTGCTCCTCTTCCAATCCAGCTCTCTGCTGTGGCCTAAGAAAGCAGTGGAAGGTGGCCCAAGTCCTGGGGCCCCTGCACCCACGTGGGAGACCCCAAAGAAGCTCCTGGCTCCTGGCTTTGGTTTGGTGTAGCTCTGGCTGTTGTGGCCAACTGGAGAGTGCAGCAGCGGATGGAAGACCTCTCTCTCTCTCTCTGCCTCTCCTTCTTGAATCTCTGTGTAACTCTGACTTTCAAATAAATAAATGCAGACCTTCCCTTGAATTAGACTGACCGCCTTTTCTCTGTGCTATAAACACATAAAAAGGTGAGGTCTTTCTCTTAGAGACCCTGGCTACAAGGAATCTTTCTTTTTTCAATTCCTGTAGCACATGTTGCTTTGACCTGGAGGTGGCTGGGCTTTGTAGTCACACACACTCAGGGTTCACATCCTAATTCAGCTCCTTCAGGCTCTGGGACTGTGAGCAAATTCCTGTATCTGTCAGTCTCAGTAAAATGGGGGGTAACACTACTTGTTTCGTGGACTAGTGTGAGGATTACAGGAGACTGTGCATGTAAAGTGCTGAGTATGAAGCCTAGCACATAGTGTTCAGTGAAAAGTGGCTCTGATCTTGGTTAATGATTACTGGTACTTACTAAATAATGCCTCAGACAGTAGCTCGTATTGAAGACTTCCCAACCTATTTCTCCTTACTTCCAGTGTGAAGGGAGGCTGCCTAATGCTGTTTGTGCCATACCCATGCGTTCACTTACTCCCCTCTGTCACCCTGTGTCTGCCCACTCCAAGCCTAGTGCCATCTAGGGATGAGTACTGGCTACATCTTCATTATTAAAGATGTAATGGTAGATATTAGCAATGCAGTGATTTGGGGGATCATCTTGGTCTGTTTTCTGCTGCCATAACAATACCACAGACAGAATAATTTATAAATAAAAGCTTTATTTGGCTCACGGTTCTGGAGGCTGGGAAGTCCAAGAACATGGCATTGACATCTTCCAAGGACCTTCCTGCTGCATCTTAATATAGCCGGAGGAGGGGAGGGAGATTAGGGCCCAAATCGCCCCATTTACTGGGAACCCCTGCTGAGATAACAGAATTAACCCATTCTTGAGGTTGGTGCTCTCACATCCTAATGGCCTCTTAAAGGTCCCATCTCCCCATACTATTAAAATGGCAATTAAATTTCAACATGAGTTTTCGGGGTTGGGGGGCAAACCACTTTTATATTTCGGGACATGAAAGTTCCTTATGGATTCTTGCTGTGCAGAGCCAGAGTCAAGATGACAGGGGAAGAAAATCTGGGTTTGGTCAAAGCTGCATTATTTTTGGCAAAAGGCTATTATAAAATTCATGGAACAGAACACAAGTGCATTATGATTTCCCGAGTAAGTTGTGGCCAAAGCAGGGTCGGAGCAAACAGTAAGCATGCAAAAGCACCGCTTCAGGATCTTGTCGTGCAAGTTTGAGAATGATCCTCAGTCAATCAAAAGTGCCTAGCAGTGTGCACGTAACATAGTTAATCAAAAGTAACTAACATTGTGCACGTAACATAGTTAAACTGTGTCATTTAAGGCAAAAAAAATCTTTCACTTGTTGTGTTTTAGAATTCACCATTCATCAAACCGTATCCTTTACACACACACGCACACACACGCACAGGCATGCACATGCACACACGGATGTGAGGCTCTTTGGGCAGTCTTCCGTTGTTTGAGCTCAATCTCAGTCCCAAGAGACCCATGACAGAGCTCTGATCGTTGCATTGCTATGTCACCTTGGAGCCAGATTTCTTTGTTTTACCCACACTTATGGTATATATTTCATTCCAGTGTTTGTAAATATTTTGTATCATGCAGTCTTGTTTTCTTTGGTTGGAATTCTGATAACAGGGAGATTTCTTGTGTTGATTTTGAAGTAATCATAAGCCCCAAATGAGTTTGAAGTCATCATTAACTGTAATAGTGTTGCTGCTTTTCTTCCTTATTGGAGAAGCATCAGGGAGTTTTTATAGGGGCCAACTTTGTGGTGTAATGGGGTAAGCTCTTGCCTGTGATGCCGGCATCACATATGAGTGCTGGTTGAAGTCCTGGCTGCTCCAATTCCTACCCAGCTCCCTGCTAATGTGCCTGAGAAAGCAGCAGAGGATGACCCAAGTGCTTGGGCCCCTGCCACCCACGTGGGAGACCTGGATGGTGGAATTCCAGGCTTCTGGCTTCAGCCTGGCCCAGCCCTGGTTGTTGCCTCCATTTAGGGCATAAACTAGTGCATTGAAAATCTCTGTCTCTCCCTCTCTCTAAATCTGCCTTTTAAATAAATAAGTCAATCTTTAAAAAAAAAAAAAAAGATTGATTTATTTACTTGAAAGAGTTATACAGAGAGAGAAGGAGAGGTAGAGAGAGAGAGAGAGGTCTTCCATCCACTGGTTCACTCCCCAGTTGGCTGCAATGGCCGGAGCTGCGCCAGTCTGAAGCCAGGAGCCTGGAGCTTCTTCCAGATCTCCCACACTGGTGTCGGAGCTCAAGGACTTAGGCCATCTTGTACTGCCTTCCCAGGCTATATCAGAGAGCTGGGAGGGAAGTGGAGCAGCCAGGACTCGAACCAGTGCCCATTTGGGATGCTGGCACTACAGGTGGTGGCTTTACCTGCTACATCACAACGCCAGCCCCAGTCAATCTTTTTTTAAAAGGAAGATTTTATAAGATACTGATGGAAGCATAATTTGGCACTACCATAATTTGAATCAAGGGAAATCTCTCAAAAATCTCAAGAGTTGCATTTAAGGAACAAGACCTTTTGAAATTGATAGTGTAATGGTTACTTCATCCGCACAAGTTGTGATTTGCTATCTGTTCCTTCCTTTCCTGCTTGACTGTATTCTTCCTCATCCAACAAGATTTACTGCATCATCTAAGAATCTCCTCTTACTAGAGTTTGCCTCTTTCCAAACTGGAATCCATCCCTAGAGAGAGACAGGTTCACCTAATGAAAGGGTGGAGCTAAATCAATGTCTGACTTTGTACATTTTCTCTACTGTACTTTTGCTGCCCTTCTAGTGGCTGGTGTTGAAGGTGTGGAATGACCTGTCAATGTCTTTGACTTTCTAGCTTCTACCAAGCTTCCCTGTCATCTTGCTAAATTCCAAAGGTGTGTTCTTTCCTCATCCTTGGCCTCCATAGCATCCCTGTGATAGGATCTGCCTGACTCACCCAGCCAGAAAGGATGCTGTGTTCCAGAAATCTCCTTTGGGACACTCGAGGCAGAACTGGTGAGTGTTCAGGTACAATAGGGCATCAAAGCTTGTCCCTAAGGGCTTTGGCTAGTCTCTCTTGGGTGGGTTTTTAGGGACATGTCATGGCACTGTTCACACAGTAGACTTCTGCGGTGAGAGATTCTGTCAGCAAAGGAGCAGAACTTTGAAGCAGGTCTGGGCCCTGTCCCGTGGACACAGCCAGACCCGGGTGTTCTCTGAGGGCATTGTTGAGCAGGCAGGATGAAGCTCTGCTGAACTTTCTCGTGTGTTTAGTTTAGCTTGCCGCTTCCAGATAGTCTGATGGTCAGTGTAATTCCTGTGGATTCTCATGATAAAACATGTACCAGAGATTCTTAATTGGTCTCCAAGCCACTTGTGCGATCAGTCATTGACATGATGTGATTCGGAATTGCAAAGGCTGTTCCAGAAGAAATAAGTTCCTGTCAGTCTTGCGTATTCAGATTGAGGCCAGGAGTCCGAGGATGTTCTTGTGACGTGGCCCAGAGGAAACAGCCAGACTGATCTGACTTGGTTCCTCACACAGGGGTCAGTAGAGAAGCTTCTGTGTATGTAGCATTTGTCCTGCACCGTAGTGTGTGCGCCTGTAATGGCAGCAGCTGCTGTTTATGTTATAGTGCTTCCTCCATTTTCCAAAAGAGGATGCAAAGTGGTAGCTTGTACTTAACCACTCTTGTTCTGGTGTGCACCAGACATTGTGTTATACGTTTCTGATTCCTCTAACAGAAGCTTCCCTGATAGAATAAATACTGTTGTCCTCTATAGAAAAATGAAGAAACGGGCACATGTTAGCTGACTTGCCCAAGAGCACCCAGCCAAGGAGTGAACTTCGATGGAACCCAGGTCCATCTGACTCCAAGTCAGTGCTCTTGCCCCTAGGCTTAGCAGCTTCCATGGCAGGTATGTTGCCCTGTTGCCCGGTTTAGCTGCCAGTACAGTTGGTTGATTTGACTCATGTTCTGTAGCTGCACCCGAACAGCATGCTGTGTATGTAGCAGGTACTTGGTGTTTTAACATGGAGAAAGACAGCAAAGTAGACCGTATACCCAGATGAGGAAACTAAACCCCAAGAGGTCAAGTAACTTGCTTGAAGGCACCATTACCACCGGCAGTGGTGTTTTTGAATGTGAAGACCATCTAATATAATATAATGTCAGCTAAATTCATAATTCTTTCGGTCATTCAGTTTTCAGTAACACAGCCCCATTTCCAGAAATCTTTCAGATTTCTTCCAATCATTTATTGTATCACTCTGGGCAAATGCTTTCCTGCTCTTACCTCACTGACGTCATCTGTAAAAGGAGAATACTAATAGTAATACCTACCTTACAATGCATTAAGAGGAATAGTGCAGGTAAAATGCATAGTTCAGTGCCTGGCACGTGGCAAATACAGAAGTAATTAATGTTTCTCGTGTGTGTGTGTGTGTGTGTTGAATCTAGTAGTAAGCAGTATATCCTGCTGAAAACAGTGAGGCTGAATTTTGTAGTCAAAACAAAAGTCTATTTCAAGGTAGAGCACATTTCCAGAGGCTACATTCTTCAAGAGCAGGATCATCTGCACATGTGTTATTGCCCTCACGTCTCAGATATCCCTTGACAGACAGTAGACATCATAGGATTGGGTAAAAGGTAATGGCGAGTGAGGAGTAGGTGTGTGTTAGGCAATAGTGAGTGATTGTAAAATATCAGTCAGACTCAGAGCCAGTGTGTTTTTCCTTCCCCAAGACTGATGTGTCTGATGTGTTGATTAGATTTCAAGTGGTTGAAAAATTCTAAATAGCCATGATGAAGAGGCTTGTTTAGTTTCTCCTTCTCAAATGTGATCTTTTCCAGAAGTTTCTGTGCTTGGTCTGTTCTCTCAGCATAACCAGCCTTCAACAGTGAGCTTGTTGCTGGGAGTGGGCAGTCATATGGTCTTATCGAGAAGGTCGCTGTCACTCTTACCTCATTCTTTCCAAAGTGTATTTCTTACAGTAGAGGTTCTGTTTGTTTGAATAAAAAATTCATGTAGGTTTGATCAAGATCATATCATCAATCTAGTATCAGTGAAGTAACAGTAAGTGCTGGAGCTGGAGCTCTTAAAGCTTTCTTTGCAGATCTGCCAGATCTGTTCATTCCATATTCTCCTCATCCAGAGCTATTGGAAGCAGCAAAAATCTTGAATAAAACAGAATGTCATCATGCCCTGAAAGAAACTGTTAAGAAATTTTATCCTGTAAACTATGATGTATTCAGATACGTGATAACACATCTGAACAGGATTAGTCAGCAAAATAAAATCAACCTAATGACAGCAGACCGTGTATACATTGTATCCATCTGGTTTTGGCCAACCTTGATGAGACCTGATTTTGAAAATCAAGAGTTTCTGTCTACCACCAAGATTCATCATCTGTTGTTGAAATATTTATTCAACAGTATCAGTTTTTCTTTTACAATAGAGAAATTATAGAAACTGCAAACACTGTGGCTCCTCCACCACCATCAAACTCAGGAAGTTGGCGGAATCAGTGGTACCTCATCAGTTACCACCTCCTTTGCAACCTCAGCTGATAGAACCACAATTACAGACGAATCCCCTTGGTATTATATAAATAGGAAGTGACTGCAGACAGCCTGAAATTGGACAACAAGCAAAAATCTAGACATGCATGTTTCAGGGTTTGGTATTACTTTTCATGTTTCACACAGATAAGACATTCAAAATGATGGGACATTTTCTCTGAACTGTATGGTATTCTTTACTCATTCACTTACATTGTTAGTCTAAGACCATGTGATAAGCATGACTGGAGAGGTTTAGTTCTTATAAACAGAGATAGCTATAAAACACAAAGCCACTGCTGCATGTGACCTTATTGCAATCAGTATATCACTCCTGTGGCAATTTCTGGCACATTATGTTGTCAGTGAAATTTCCCCATAAAAATTAAATGATTTAAAAATTCAAATATATGAAATATTGAATGCTTTTCAGCCTATTTTATGGCTGGTTTTGTTATTTGATATGGTAATTTAGGCAACTTAATTTATATCCTAGCAGTCTGTGTAGATAACTAAAAATCCAGTGAAGTATTTTATTATTTCAGGCTACTTAGGCCTTGCCTAGGATGTTGTTTGAAAGAAAGAAAAAATACACTTAACATATTTCACATTTCTGCACCTTCATCAAGTAAACTTTTGGACGATTTGATGAGGGGTGAATGAACCTATTTCTTTTACCCACATAGGAAGAGCAATCTTGATACCAACTCATTTCTTTGTGGTCCAAAACGAAGTAAGCATTTTGTATATGGTTAATTCTGTAAACAGATGCATGTTTAAAAGATCTGTGATGGTCTTGTAAACTTAATCTGTTTTTTTTTTTTTTTTAAGAATTATTTTATTTATTTGAAAGAGTTACAGAGAGAGGTAGAGACAGAGAGAGAGAGAGAAGTCTTCCATTCCGCTGGTTCACTCCCCAAATGACCTCAATGGCCAGAGCTGAGCTGATCCGAAGCCAGGAGCCTGGAGCTTCTTCCTGGTCTCCTACGCGGATGCAGGGGCCCAAGCACTTGGGCCATCTTCTGCTGCTTTCCCAGACCATAGCAGAGAGCTGGATCATAAGAGGAGTAGCAGGGACCAGAACCGGTGCCCATATGGGATGTTGGCACTGCAGGCTGGGGCTTTAACCCGCTGCACCACAGCACTGGCACCTCTAATATATTTTAAATACTTTAGTTTATTCCCTCTTGGAATACATTTAGTATAGTTTAGAAAATAATTCATGACATTTTCATATAAGGTTCTATAACTTTTCGTACATAAATGTGAAACTTGTTGTAGAAAATTCTTTAAACCAAACATTTTAATCTGTTCTTTGAATCTATTTTTATGTGGCCCTTAAAAAATGTCCAAAAAATTCATTGTTAATATAGCAATAAAAATACTTTGGGTACTGAAAACAAAACTTATGTAGGCATGTCTATAGAGACAGCCAGCTCAGCATTGGAGACCTGCTTCTTATCAGCCAGTACAGAACACAGAAATTTTAATTAAGTGAGCAGAGATCTCCTTTGATTTCAAAACAATGTTGAAGGGGTATCCCCTTTGAGTTTAAAAGCATTTTGAGGA